CAAATATTTCAATGTCGCAGATCGAAAATAAGTCAGAACTCAGTATTTAAGCAGAGCTCAGATGACACCTTTAGACCTCTGGAACCCAAAGTGCGTTGATATGTAGCATATTAACGCACTTTGGGGTCAATTTCTCGATTTTGACCCCAAAGTGCGTTAGACCCCAAAGTGCGGTGTTACACAGCACAAATAACACGGATTTGTTTGTGAACTGATCAGGGGAAGTAACCGCTGCGGGGAGTTTGCGGACGCGTGTTTTTATTCGGTTGCGTTAAGTTTTTATTTGTTTGGGTCGTCAGACCAAACAAATAATGGTGCATTATGCTGTTAATTGCAAATACCTAAAGTAGTCCACTTTTTTGAAGCTGTTACTTCCCTTTATATGTACACTAACACCGAAAAATTCAGGGGAGATCAATGCGTAAAGATTGTCAAATGACAGGCGCATTAATTTTTAAGCAAAGTAGTTCCCGAATGGTCGAAGATTTCGAATATTGTTTCATTCTTTATAGATATGCATGCTTTCAGTAAGCTTCATGATTTTTTACATCTGTGTTAAACAACAGGTTTAGCATCGAAATAATAAGAGTTACAAACCCTAATTTAGAATAATACGGTTTTCTTCAAGCCGTTAACATAATTATAACTTCACCGTGGCCGAGGGGTTTGCACGCTCGCTTATGAATCGAGAGGTCTGAAGTTCGAATCCCGGTTGAGGCAACTCATTTTTTTATGCCACCCGGGCATATAGTAATTGAACCGTTCGTCCGGCCGTCTGTCCGTCCGTCCGTCTGTCCGTACGAGGTTAACCTAGAACGGCAAGTTGGATTTTTCTTAAGTTCTACCTGTGCCAATAGCTTCTTAGTTTACACACTTACTAATCAATACAAAGTATATGATCTGGTCAAGTTACATAACTATGGTTTCCATATTTACCAAGTTATTGCCCTTTTCAGCACTTAGAAAATGAATAATGGTTAACCTAAAACGGCAAGTTTGAAATATCTTAAGTTCTATCTATACTAATGGCTTCATAATTTCCACACTTACTTATCCATACAAAGTACATGATATTGCTAAGTTATATAACTGTGTTATCCATATTCCTCAGTTATTTCCCTTTTTCCACTTTGAAAATAGGGCATTGTCTGGTTAACCTATTCCGGCAAGTTGGATTTATCTTAAATTTCTCTTAGTTGCTTAATTTATTTAATGATATCTTGCATATTTGGTAGGTGGATACCTTTAATGGTCCTCTATTTTTTTGTGGAGTAAGTGGTCTCTAGGGTCAAGGTCAAGGTCACTTGTTAAGAAAATAAATTTAAACATTTTTGCTCATACAGCCTTTAATTTTTTGGTTGATGTCTTTCATGTTTAATACAAACATGCCAAAGGAGGTCCTCCTTCTTTGGGTATAGTAAGGGGTCATTTGGGTCAAGGTCAATGTCACTAATGTTAAAAATAGATTTTTACATTTTTACAGGTGTATTAACCTATATACAGATGTCATTTATAATTGATAGGAACATAAAATTTGATGGAGTAAGTGGTCAGTTTGGTCAAGGTCACCAGTGCTTAAAATATATTTTTACACTTTTGCTCATACAGCCTTTATTTATTGACAGATATATTTCATATTTGGTAGGAAGATAACTTGCATGGTATTCATCCTTTTGATTGGGGTAGAGATCAGTGGGTCAAGGTCACTTGTGCTAAAAATAGATTTTTACACTTTTGTCCATACAGGCTTTATTTATTGACAGATGTATTTCATATTTGGTAGGAAGATAACTTGCACGGTATTCTTCCTTTTGATTGAGTTAGGGATCAGTGTGTCAAGGTCACCAGTGCTAAAAATAGATTTTTACACTTTTGCCCATACAGCCTTTATTTATTGACAGATATATTTCATATTTGGTAGGAAGATAACTTGCATGTTATTCTTACTTTGGATAGAGTTAGGGGTCAGTTGGGTCAAGGTCACAAGTGCTTAAAAATAGATTTTTACACTTTTGCCCATACAGCCTTTATTTATTGACAGATTTATTTCATATTTGGTTGGAAGATAACTTGCATGGTATTCTTCCTTTGGATGGAGTTAGGGGTCAGTTTGATCAAGGTCATCAATGCTCAAAATAGATTTTAACATTTTTGCTCATACAGCCTTTATTTATTGACAGGTGTATTTCATATTTGGTAGGAAGATAACTTGCATGATATTCTATAGGTGTAAGTGGGTCAAGGTCAAGGGTGCCAAGTATAGATTTCTTACATTTATATATATTTGATAAAGTTGAATATTTATCACTTCACAAGTCATAGCAATGACTTGGCAGCATATATATTTCAAAATTACAAAATGCCATGACTCTGTCAAGCTATATAACTTGTGTTTACAATTTTTTGGCAATGTTATTGTCCATAACTGAGTGAATGAGTAAACATTTTTTGAAATACTGCTACTGACAAGAATCGGAGCCGGGCATTTGTGTTTAACGTACACGTTCTTGTTTTTTTAATGGTTTAAGTCAAATAAACATTGAACTGACTATCATTGTTGCAATTAGTCTTATAGCCAATTTACTAAAGTTAAAACACTGGAAAGCATTGGTGGCACTATACCAAAACAAATTGATTTATTATCTCACAACCTTCACCTTTCTGACAAATTGAGACCCAAACAAATTCAGCGCCTCCTGTGCTTTGATTACCTTATGTATTGAGTCGGTGAAATTCGACAATTTCCATCACTGATGTACATTGTCGAGCTCACCCGTGCAATATCGTGAACACTGGTCACTCATTCTGTGTTGTACTTGTTCAGTTGTTTTGTTTGTTGTATATGTTCCTTTGTGAGAAAGATATTCATTGGTTCTTTGAAATATTCTTAACTCCTGCACACTGTTTGCTTTTCCTGTCCCGCTTACTCTTAACTGGTCAGACGTTCTTAAGTTGAATATTATTTAAAAGATCTACGTATACTACATTGTTGTTTACTTGTTACAATTTACATTGAATAACAGACGCTGTTGTAAGAAATCGTATGATTAAGATTTATTAATTGTATTACTTATTCCGCGTCGATTGTGTATATACTGTTATTTCATTGTATTTTGTTTTTTGTGTATATTGTATTTATATGATGTATAATTATTTTCTTATCTTTTTAGACATTTTTTATTTGGATTAATCAAAATATCGAACCTACGCCCAGAGTTTATTTCTGTTCCACCAGAAATACTGAACTCTGCGACAATATAAAGAGTCTAAAATCTATGTAATATCTTTTTATTTGTATAACATTTTGTTGGTTATATAGAGTCTAAAAATCTAGATTATATCACTGTAATGGTATAACATTTTATTGGTAATAAAAAGAGTCTTAATCTAGGTTATATCACTTTATTTGTGCACCATTATTTTTGTTGGTAATATAAAGAGTCTTAATCTAAGTCAAATCATTTTATTTGTACAGCTTTTTTGTAAGTCATAAGAGCCTAAATCTAGGATTAATCACAATATTTGTACACTTGGCAACGATTTAGTTACAAGGATGTCTAAATATTTTACTGAAATCGTAGTTCCTTTAGAACTGATTAAGTTACGGTAGCAGGGCCTCAAATTAAGGTGACTTAGTCACGACAACTGGGCCTGACAATTAAATGATTAAATAACGGTAGCTTGGCCTCACAATTAGGTTTTTTACTCACGATATCTCGGCTTCACATTTCAGTGATTTAACTACGGTATCTGGGCCTCGCAATAAGGTGATTTAGGCACGACAGCTGGGCCTGACAATTCGGTGATTTAATCACGGCATCTGGGCCTCAAAATTCGTTGAGTAGTCATGGTAGCTGGGCTTCATGTACATATATGTGTACATGTATGTGTTAACAATTTGGATAGCCTTTCCCGCCTTTCAAAACCCATTCTCACGAAAATAGCATGCAAAATTGCAAGCACATTGGAAAGGCCGTGGCTATTTTATTAGTTTTCAAGGCGAAACTCGTCCGTTTTTTACAGCAACAACAAAATAATCAGAATGAGAATAACTAACGTAAAAAAACATGAAGATTAAATGAATAAAACAATCTTTGCCGGCTTTTACATTGCGTTGATAACGATTATTTTACAACAATGTTTATAATGGAAATACAGGTACAATAGTGCTGGTTTTGTCCACATTGAAAGATGGACAAATCCATTTAGGATATATAACCTTGTAACGGATAAACTTGATCTCTCTTTAATGCCTCGCGTCAAAAACTGTTTCTAGCCCTGAATTTGGAAGAGAATTAATTAAATTCAGATTTTTTACGAAATTGAGGAATTTGTAATTACGGACACTGCATCATTACATAGCACAAACGACAATCATGGGACGTTAACTATCGACACGTGGCACAAACGATTATTACACGACACACAAACAAACATCACGATGACACAAACGATCATCACATGACACAAACGATCGTCACATGATAAAAATAAATAAATAATAATAAATAATAAATGATAATCATGATCGTTATATGACAGAAACGATTGTCAAATGGCACAAACGTTCACCACGTGACTAAAACGACAAACGATCATAACATGACACAAATGACCATGACGTGGCACAAACGATCATCACATGAAACAACCGATTATCACATCTCAAAACCCATCACGTGACAAAAACGACCATCACGTGACGAAAACGATCATCACATGACTCAAACGATCTTGCATCCATCGTTCTATTCATCTGCAACGTCTATTTGTTGTTTTTTCTTCTTTTTTCTTTTCTAATGGTTTATAGTATGTAGGGATTTACATTGGCTGTTTTCAATGTTAAATTCTGAGGTTATTTGCTATACACGCTCTGATTATTGTGACATGCACATATGATATGTAATTGTTAACAAAACATTTCTTTTATACTGCCTATTTCAAGTTAAACAATTATTCTGCATGTTTCACGTGAAAATCGTGCATGTATTGGGCGGGCAGTATAAATACGCCGGGTACGACATACACAAATCATTCAGGACGGTTTCAGTTTGAGACATAAACGCAGTAAGTACATTTTTCTTTTATTTGTTAGGCCAGATCTCGACATTGTAAAAAGAAACTTGTTTTCAACGTTCTTAAATGCATTTTAAATTTTAAGGAAAAGAATGTTGAGTTTGTGCATGGTTTTTTTTTATTCGCCCGAATACTATTTTGGGACGTATTACGGTGTGGCGTTGTCTGTTAGTCTGTAAACGTTTGGTTTTTGATGAGTTTTGTTGATTGTATTTGGCATGAATTCAAGTACACCTTTATACGTATATCTATTAAAATAAGGTCCAAGTTCGATTTTCTCTGCAATAAACAATAATTTTAAGTATATTCTATTTAACGTGGACGTTTTTTTGTGAAATTAGTATTTTTAATTTTCGCAGGATTATAATGGAATACTTGCAATGATTGTTATATATTCATGTTCATATGTAGTTTAAGAGGCTTCAACGAACGTCAAAATAAAGGCGACATGTAAAGTTATAGAAGCCAGAACTAGTCCGTATGTTATCAAAACACTACAATTTAAGTTTATCACCTCTTTATCAGGTCTAGGATTTCATATTTACGGACAGACTGTAAATTTTTGGACAATCCATAATTTTACAGATTTTTGTAATTTTCCAGACATGAGATAAGAAATGGTGCAAGTTACATTAAAACTCAAACACCTGTTAAAATGAATAACGTTACGTTTTATATGATTACATGTATTACAGTAACAGTCTGGCAAGATTTAGAACAATTTGATGACTTTCAAGTTTCACTTTCAACAAATTTCGAAATCATCATACCCGGATGAAACTGACCCATTAGCTTTGTAAATATAAACAATCAATAAAACTTGTCAAACTGCGGATTTTAGACTAGTGTAAAACTAAACGCAGCAAATCTCACATTGAATCTGTTAATGTTATATGGATTGAATTATCTTTAAATTTCTAGACTATCCATAAGTTTACGGACAGTCCATAAATATCATGAAGTCCTACACCTGATTTTGGATACGTTACGTCCATTTGCATCGAAAGGATTTCCTTCCTTAGCAGGTTATATTGATATATAGGAAAGTCCTTTGGCATTACTATCGTGTATTACAGTAATACTATGTTATTTGGTTTCCTAAAAAATACACTGTTTAGTAGTTGTTTGTTTTAAATCGGATAAATTGACATTTATAATTACATTTACAAGAGTAAATTTCTTATCTTTTTGTCCACGATATCCACCTGTAAAATTGCCATCTGACGTGTCTTAAAGACCCATTATGCCCGAAAACGCTTGTTTTTTTCCCAAAAGCTTTTTACTATGTTATAGTTTCCATTTAATAAAACCCCTTTTGCTTCTGTTGCCTTTCAGCAATTCGTACAATTATAAAGATTTACTATGTATTTTGTATGGAAGTCAAAATATTACATCGTACGTTTTAAATTTTGGTAATTTGTAATTTACAGACATTCTTCATGCTCACATGCTCTGAAACGACTATTTATAAAATGAAAACGTTACAACAGAACGAATTATTTTTACATTCCTGAGACATGTGCCTTTAACGCGTGTCCGTGTATCTTCCCCAGCGGAGTTCATTATTGCACATTGAATACTTTCCAGGACTTGAGCCATTTTTCAAAAGGCTAGTTCAATTCCCATGTGTTCGACGCGTTGATTGGTCATTTTGCCAAACAGATTTTTGTTTATTTACATATAGTCAGTGTCTGCTCTTCATAACTGGAGGAAATAAAGAATCTATCTACCTTGCTTGAATTTTGAATTATCTCCCTTAATAATATTTAATTAAGCTCGGTAAACCCGTGTAAACTTTCGTTTAAGAAATACAACTTTTATACATTGTCTGATTTAGGCCTTTCATTATCATACTTATTGGCTGATCTTCTGACATAAGTATGAAGACAATAAATTTTATTTAAATTCAAAACCGCAGTTTAAAAGAAAAAGGTAAATGATCTGATTGAGTAAATTCCTGATTAAATAAGTACATGTAGATACTTTGGATTCTCAACTCAAGGTACCAAATATTTTTCCCTATTAAGACATTTAAGGACGCAAAATTTCCCGAGGTTAGGCAATGTACTTTTTTTGCCAAAATGACGAGGAAAGCTGTTTAAAATGAGAGTTTACTACCAAAACAATTACAACGTATTTTGTAAATATTTATGTCTCTAGTCCGAAATAATATAAACATTAAGCAGTAAATCTATATATTTTAGATTATTTCATATTCGAGGTTTGTAGATGTGTTTCATCTGAATATGGTGTTCTCATTATGACTCCATTTACCTCCAATGCTAAAATCTAAACGGAATATATACAAACGAATTATTGGAAGCTTTGAATTGCTGTAATTTATGAAAAAGATATTCTTTTTTTCCCACAGGACTGTTTTTCAAGATGATGGCGACACTTAGACAGGTTTTGCAAGCATTGTTGTTAACAGTGGCAGTTTCAGTGGGTGTGGAGAGTACATTAAGTAATTACACTATTAGAATAATCAAACACCTCTTTTTGTGCCCTCACTTTAGGGGGCATTTACATGTAGATATACCCTTGTCCGTCCGTCCATCCGTCCCTCCTTCCGCCCGTCCGTTCAGTCTCTATTTGACCTGAAGTCGTTCAACTTTATAGAAATGTTGTTCTTCATGCTTTGTAGTTGTGTACCTGGGTATTTTCTTGTGGATATATTTAGTATTTTTAGAGTTATTGCCCTTGACTTAGTAAAAATTTACCATGTTCAACTTGTGTCGCAGCTCAAAGTATTTGACCTAGTCATGAAACTTTACAGGAATGTTGCTCAGCATGTAAAGTTGTGCACCTTGGGTTTTCACTTTTGTCAGATTTATTGCCCTTGACTTTGTGAAAACTGTTTCATTATGTTTCTGACGGACATTATAACCCCTTTTTCTTATTAACTCTTAAAAACGACTCTGAAAAGAACTTTTCAATGTGTATATGAAAACTCCAGAATATATTTTTAAGCTTAAGTTGTCAATCACATCTGCAATAGCATTTGCCTTTAAATAAGAGGTCTGTGATTCCAGCCTTACTGTACTAGCTTTTTTTTCATATATTTTTGCAGTATATTTTTATGGAAAAGACGTACTATAAACTTTCATTCATGCAGATATCTAAGTTATCATTTTAATTGTATTCAACGGAATTTTAGTACTTTTTAATTCGATAGGATTTTAGATATCCGTACGTAATTCTTGAATATTGATTTTACGAAATCATTAGAGTAAAATAAAGCAACATAAATGTATTATTTCTTTAAATAAAGAAACAACCTTCTGAATCTCGTCTTTAAGCACAATATGATATAGGACGTAGAAATGAAAAGTAAAAAAAAATGTGCTATGACATCATCTGACAGTTAATCGGATCATCTTGATTTTTTCCATCAAAATGTACTTATCTGAAGATAAAAGTTGCGATTGATCATAATTTAAAACTTAAACACTCCTTACTGTATCATCTCACAGACCTTATCAGCTAATTGCAAAGCTATCACACATTAATGTCGTGCGATACTTCTCTGAATGAAATTGACCGGTAGATATCAAATATTTCACACCCAGACCATTCCTATTTGATTAAAATATCATTTTCTATTCTTAAGACCACAAATTACACGGTAGAATAATATTTTTGCACGATTTTCCAGCCGCATATCTATTACCTGTAGTGCAGAATTTATACAGTATTGCGACAAGAAGGCTTTAAGCTGCTACCTGCTCAATAATGCACATTAACTAACAGTTACATTTTACTGTGATACATAGTGGAATTATCTCTGTAAAGAACATTGGTAGAAAATTTAAGGGATATTTAGTTATGCCCGATGAGTGACGTAAACCTGAACATTCTTAACCAAAGATTCAGGGTTTAAATCCTAATCGAGCTGCATTATAATTCTTGCATTGAACACAGCCAATTTTCACATGCAATGTGAGATTACAATTGTCATGAAACATAAATCTTTATATTTGACATTTTTTCAGCTTACTCCTGTGACCCAGACAATACCGTAACAGTTACTGGGTTCACTGCTGGAACAAATTTTTTTGCCAAGCAAGGTGCAACAACGTGTTCAACAAGCCTTTCTAGTACCACGCTGACAATAACTGGTTGTAATAAGGTAACATTATGTACACTATTTTTCTGATATATTTCAGTCTTTCTATTTTGCTATCTTGTTGCAGTTTCCAAAAATTACAAATTTGCCATAAAGATGAACTATCTTTGCTTCTTTTCTTCAGTTGATAATATTAGTGAATACGTGTACGTGTTTTATATGAAAGTCGAAATACTTTTACACATTTCTACATTTACTTGACATTACTGCACATTCAATGCAGGTTCTACTTTTGCTGTTAAACATCTAGCATGTTCTAAATCAATTATGAACATTTATAACGATATTAAACATGTTTAACATTTCTAAAGAATTTGATCAATATGTATTTCTGAGGCATAATGTGCCTTCAGATCAAGATCCATGCTGTTCGCTATCAGTTTCACTACTTGTAAAAGGGTTTGTAAGCGAACAGCATGGATCCTGATCTGACTGCGCGTGTGCGCAGGCTAGTCTAGATCCATGCTGGTCGCAAACCCATTACATTTGTTTTGTCGTGACGCGGCACATAAGAAGTCTCATATCTGTGAACCGCTTGGCCTTACCAATATACTGTATACTTCAAGAAAGTGCGCATTTGGTTGTATGGCAAGCTCATAATATATGAAAGCAAAATCGGCATCATAAATAATTTAGAATCAATTTGCAGATTTTTACACAATTTCTACAATTGAAATTCGATTATCGTAACTTTGGTTACAAGTCCATAATGTCGTTACGTCAGGTCCAATCAAGTCGGGTTCAGGTCTAGTTTGTTGATTCCATCAGGGTATTTCAAATAGAAAACTGGAAAAGTTATAAAGCTTTTAAAAATATATTGGTAAATGTAGATTGCGTTCCATATAATAAGTGATTATATTAATTATCAAAGGAAAATAAAATGGTAAATTTGAAAATCTGAAGGTTTCCTTTCGCAGGATTCGGAAATACTGGTCACATATGGCTCCTACGCAGACATGGAAACAAACGCTCTACATGGCGGTACAACTGTCAATGCGTTTAAAATAACATGTAACGAGATTGCTGCAACTGGAGTAGCCCATACCATTACAAATGCATTTACAGCCAGGTAAGTACGTTATTAATAACTCATTTCGTCCACTACGAGCCTTCAGTCATCCGAGTCTTCAATTGAATCAATACAAGTTTTCAGTTTCAGAAAATGTTGCAATATAATACTTGTCCAAGACAATTACAAGAACATCCCAAGTTTTTAATTCATGAAAATGGCATGTTTTCAGATGTGGTGTTAATTCCTCTCTTTTTACATTCATAATCCAGGGTTATTCATTCAACTTTGAATATCAGTAAAACAAAATCCGCTGACGGGCAGTACCAATATTTATAGAAGTAGAAATAATCATTAGCAGTGTATTTAAATAAGAAATAGGGCAAGTTTCATTATCTGCCGACAGTAAAACATAACATTACAAAAACATAACAAATATAACATAACAAAAAAATGTTGATATATAATATGATATTGCCATGCCATCTCAAGCCTTTCCTTACTATGATACAACAAAATGATTTGTCAAACTATTCAGATTATTCTATGCCACACCAAGTTTGACATCAGATGCTAAATCTGTAGTACAATGGAATGATTTTGGACACTCGAATCACAGATACGTTGTGCTTTCAAAAAACTCCCAAGAATTTGAATTGCCTTTACTTAATTCTGAATTGTCTTTAATTAAATCTGGAAGGTTTTGACAACTCCATCATACATCCTCATTAGTATTTTAATGACAAAACAAGTTATAATTGGTTTAGTATCAACATCGTAAATGCCCCAGTAATTACTGGTAAATAGCAACAGACATCATCTGAAAGTTAAAATCTTGATTAAAAAAACTAGATCACCATACGTTTTGCCGTAAATATTTAAATTCTTTTAATATTTTTTTATTTTAACTGTGAATTAAATGTTTGAAAGTATAAAAAGTAATGGGATGAATAAAATAAACTTGCAACTCATTGATAAATTTATCAAAGGGTTTTTAACCCCTTGGAACTTTGCAAATATTCTTTATATAAAATAGTTACTTGTTTCCTTGGAGTAATTCTTAAAATAACACAACAGAAGTAGGTTTCAATTGCATAAACACCATACTAGTAAATTATCTACATGACTTGTCCACCCTTTAAGAATAACAGGAGAGGTGTATTACCTTCCATGGAAAAAAAACTCAGTGGAATCGTCTTGTCAAGATTTGGGTTAAATAATTGATAGGAATTGTCCGGGAGGAAGGGTAACAGAACATCTCTAGTATGACGATTATTTACATTTGTATGTCTAAAACACTGCTGATAGATAAATTGTACTAGACATAGGCAAGTAACAAAATTCTTTATGCGAAGTGTTATGAAGCCCGTCTGTTTCATCTTCAATCTACTTATTACCTTCATACATGTACAGTAAAACCTCATTAACTATAAGACCAGCAACGGGACTACATCCAATTATATACTTGTCTCCTCATGAATGCCTATGCGTCAACTTGTATAGTTTTTACCTTATTTCAGTTTGTCCATTGATGCAACCCCTTCTACTCAACCGACATATTCTGTGACGTCATCTCTAAGTCCATCATCTGTAACTGTTGGCGCCGACGTCACCTGGACAATATCTTATCCAAGTAAGTAATTAAAGAAATAATTAATTAAAGAAATAATTAATTAAAGAAATAATTAAACCTATCTGCAAAAACCACCAAAGGAAAATACAAACAAATTGGTCGAAAGTTTATTGCTTTTTTTAGTAGGAAGTGGCCTTTATGTACATTCTCTTTATTCTGAGATGGTCTTTGATACCTGTAATATATATATATATATATAATACACACGCTACTATAAAATAACTGCATTGAGCAAACTTAATTAAATCCGTATATTTTTAAATTTTACCTTTAAATTCTTGAATATAACTTACACACTTCCCTTAACAAGCCTACTTGCAAGCCTTGTAAGAAACCTTAAGCATTATTCCAGTTGTCTCCTTGACGCGTTTCAATGATACTTTACGTTTAGACTCGACAAAAACATGTCAATAAATTAACATTGAAGATACCATACAACTTTTGCGGCTGTAAAGATGGTATAACAATAACATGTTTTGAGAACGTAATTTGTTATACAAACATTGCGTAAATTCGCACTTATTACCATTAGATTAAATATCTCAATAAAAATTTTGATTCTATTATATAATTCATAGAATAAACTTTACTTCTAAATTTAATGAACAACTTGTTAGTTTTTACCCTTTGAACATTTTCCAGGACATAGTTCTGAAAGTATAATAGATATATACAAGACACTTTGTAGGTCGGTCTCATTGAGTAGAACTGCTGTACAAAGAACAGTAACTCTGCCTTGTCCACGTTTGGAATTATTGCACTTTGAACTTTGTCCGGACATAACTCTGAAACTGTAACAAGAGGTATACTTTTGTGTCCAAGACCTATTCGGGAAACATCACCCGGTTCAACAAGCTCTTGTATTTCTTTGTGGATGTCAAATTGTCTGTATGCAGTTTGCATCCTTACCAATGAGTTGTTACAAGTTCAGAATAACACACTTTCAAAGGTCAAGAAGCCATGTAGATGTTTATTTTTCAGTAAACTAATACTTTGAAATTAATTCAAATTGTGAATATCGCAAAATAAGTTGTGAAAAAATACATATAAATGCTTTGTAAATCAGAATGTGATCTGTTTACATGTATAACTATGTATAGCAGCAAACAGGGCAGTTACAGAGGTAAAATACCTTGACCTTTATACTTATACTAGTAATCCTTGGTAAAACAAACGATTATTTCACTGGTACAAAAATGGCGCGAACTTTGAAATATAACTGTTATATACATCTAGTCCTTCAATGTAGTTAAATTACATCCTAATCTTGATATACATGTATTTGCAGTGCTGAAATGTAAATCTAAAGACCTTAATTATATTTAATTGATAAACCGTTTTTTTACATTACAGGTTCTTACAGTCTGCAAGTTGTTAGCTGTAGTGCATATGCTGGTACAAGTGCGACTGGTACAGCCCTCTCCTTGATTACTGCTGGAGGGTAAGTGGTGTATATGGTCATTGGTTATACGACCCCCCCCCCCTCCTTCCTCCAACCGAACTTTTTATTATGCAAGTTTGAGAAAAAGGTGTTTTTTTTTGGTATTGGCGGGCGACATCTCGTGTGGTGAAAAGCATTTTACTACACGAGGGCAACATTCATCAACGGACATTGTAAGGCAAACGTGTAGGTAACACGATGAGACCCGACAGACATTGTACTACACTTTGCCATAGTGAATTTACATGTATTGAAGGATTTATTTTTCTAAATTTTTCAGATTATGTTGTGCACAAAAGTTCCATTAGCCTAAGTCGCATACAAATTAAAAATGAACATTTATTGACCCTTTCATTATTTTAATGTAAATGTTCACTTACATGAAACTACTACATTTGTGATGGATTGTATTGTTTGCCAATGACTCTTATAAGACATTAACTTTTATAATCATTTTTAAGTTGAAAGATGTGATCGGTTTATTACAAACATAATAATAACGCTTTTCAATTTGTTATTTAGCACAATAAATATGATTCTACTGGGAAAATGGAATGAGGAAATTATCTGAATTTTCACACCAATTATTGGCCTAAACTTACATCAAATGGTTATTACAAATACTGGAAGATATTTCCAGTCCCATGTCAAAAACCTCAGTGGAGCGAGTCACTTTAATTTTGGAAGGCTATTTGGGTTACTTTGATCAAAAGTAAAGGTCACGGTGATAAAAACGTATTTTTACACTTTATGTACAGCCCTTATATTTAGGTGGTGCCATTGGTAGTCTCTAGATTATATGGTCAATAAGTTCATGATTTGAAGGTCAGATATAGAAAATGTTCAGTATTGATTTATTTCGACTTATTACTTAAATGTCTTTCACATTTGGTGGGTGGGAACTTCTTGCCTTATATGGTCGGTACTTCGAGTGTAGAAACGAGTCCCTGAAGTTTATATCAAATCTGCCACTCCTCAAATTTGTATATTTTTGGCTTTTGCTTATAGCTTTCGACTGATTATTTCGTATTTGGTACGAACATACCTTGGCTAATTTGGTAAATTTATTAAGGTATGGGTTCATGCATATAATTATATTGCATATAACATAACTACATGTACTTTTAAATGGTGTTAACCAAATTGTAAGAAATAGAAGCTAAATGCATACCAGGCATTTCATTATTTGCAGTTCTATATTATCATGTACTGCAATCTTCTGTTTACATTTAACATGGTTTTTGTGTCGCCTCTACGGAGTAGTGGCGACATATAGGGATCACTTCTCCGTCGTCTGTCTGTCTGTCCGTCCGTCCGTCACAAAACCTGTCCGGACAACTCCTCATAAACTACTGATGCAATTTCATCAAAACTTTACAGGAATGATCAGTACCTAGTCTAGTTGTGCATATTGTCAGTATTTTCGGGTTCAATGATTTTTGTAAGAGTTATGGCCCTTTAATAATTTTTTCAAGGGTCAAGTCATCACATTGCCCTTGGAAAGAAAAAAACGGTTTCCGATCAATAACTAAAAAACCCTTAAAGGCCCTGGGAAACTTAAATTGGTATGGGAATTTTCATAAATCAGTGGGATGACCCCTTTTGATTTGGGGCGGGGGTAAAAGGTCAAGGTCACATTGACCTTGTAAGCAAAAAAAAAGTTTCCGATAAATAACTAAAAAACCCAAAGGGCCCCGGGAACTTCAAATTTGGGTATGGTTTTTGTAAATATCAGTAAGACCCCATTGTTTTTGGGGTCAAGGGTCAAAGGTAAAGGGTCCCCTTCCTTGAAAGAAAAAAACTTTTTTCCGATCAAAACTAAAAACCCCAAAGGCCTGGGAAACTTCAAATTTGGGTAGGGTGTTTGGGTCAGGGTCAGTAGTTTGCCCCCCTAACAATTTTGGGGTAAAGGGGTAAAAAGGCCCAAGGCCCACATTGACCTTGAACCCAAAACGTTTCCGATCAATAAAAAAAGAACCCAAAGGGCCTTTGGGGAACTTAAAAATTTGGGTTTAGGGTGTTTGGTCATGATAAATTTAATGACCCCCTAAAATTTGGGGGGTAAAGGGGTCGGGGGTAAAGGGCCCACTTTGCCCTCTTGGAAAAACGGTTTCCGATCAAAAACAAAAGAACCCAAAAGGGTTTTTGGGAAATTTCCAAACTTGGGGGGAGGTTATGACCAGCAAAACCCCTTTTGGTTTTGGGGGTTAAGGGGTCAAAGGTAAAAGGCCCACTTTGACCTTGTAGGAAAAAAAGGGTTTTCCGATAAAAACGAAAAAAAACCCTTGGGCCCTGGGGACTTAAAATTTTGATATGGTGATTGGCTTTATCATTAGTGCCCCCTTTTAAATTTTGGATTAAAGGGGGTTAAAGGAAAGGGTCACTTTACCTTGTGGAAAAAAACGGTTTCCATCAAAACGAAAAACCCTTGGGCCTGGGAAAACAAACCTTGATATTGGGGATTGGTCATATCAGTAGATGCCCCCTATTGTTTTTTGGGGTAAAGGGGGTCAAAGGTCAAGGTCACTTTAACCTTTTGGGTAAAAACATTTTCGATAAATAACTAAAAAAACCTTGGGCCTGGGAACTTAAATTGGTATGGTGATTGGTCCATGATCAGAAGTTTGCCCCTTTGATTTTGGGGTAAAGGGGGTAAAAGGAAAAAGGGTCACTTAACCTTTTGGGGTAAAAGCTTTTCCCGACAAAAACTAAAAACCCTTGGGCCTGGGAAAACTTAAAAATTTGTTTATGGTTTGGTCTTTCCCGGGGCAGATACCCCTATGTTTTTGGGGTTTAAAGGGGGTAAAAGGAAAGGTAATTTGACCTTGTAGGTAAAAAGTTTTCCGATCAAAAATTAAAAACCCCTTGGGCCCCTAGGACTTAAAATTTGGTATGGTGTTTGGGTCTTTTGCCCAGCGATTCCCCCTTTTCTTTTTTGGGATAAAGGGGTAAAAGGTAAAGGGTCCCTTTGCCCTTGTAAGAAAAAAGGGTTTCTGTTTCAAAACTAAAGAACATTTGGGCCCTGGGAACTTCAAAATTTGGCAGGGTGATTTTCCATGACCAGCAAATAAACCCCTTTGTTTTTGGGTCAAGGGGTCAAAGGAAAAAGGGTAACATTGACTTTGTAAGTAAAAAGGGTTTCGGATAAATTTAAATAAAAAAGCTTGGGCCCTGGGAAAACTTAAAACCTTGGATAGTGATTTTTTCATGATCAGCAGATACCTCTTTTAAATTTTGGGGTAAAAGGTAAAGGGTCACTTTACCTTGAAATTTTTAAAAAAAGGGTTTTCGGATAAAATAATAAAAAAACCCCCTTGGGCCTGGGAATTTAAAACTTGGCTGGTAAATTATCTACCAGCAAATGCCCCCTTTTGTTTTTGGGGTAAAGGGTAAAAGGGCCCGGGTCACTTTGGGCCCTTTTAAGAAAAAAGGGTTTCTGATAAATTAAAGTAAAAACCTTAGCCTAGAACTTAAAAACTTTGTATGATGATTTGTTTGCCCCAGAGAAAAACCCCTATTTTTTTTTGGGTAAAGGGTAAAGGTCAAGGTAAAATGACCAGTGGGATATTTGATAACCCTTTTAAATTTTTATCACTGGGCCCAGAAGCCCATGCAAAAATTACCTTTTCACATGAATAATTGGTTTGCTGATGGGGGGCATACTTTGTTTTACAAAACATATCTTTTTAAATTTTTTTAAAGTTTGCCCGGGACTATTTCTTTTTATCCCACTTAAAAAAATTTCAATAAAAATTTTACGATTGATCTGAAAGGCTCAAATCCTTCCCGGCATTTTTCCCGGGGTTTTCCGGAAAATGATTTTTGCCAGTTAGGGCCCCTTTTTGATAAAAAAGGTTTTTTTCTTTTGTGTTCCCAGATCCCAGACACCCCCTCATAAACAAATTGGGTTTGAAAAGTGTATCCAAACTTTACGGGAAATGTCAGTACCAAGTCTAGTTGTCATTTTCCGTCTGTCTTTTCCGTCTGCCACAAAACTTGTCCCCAACCCTTTAAATTTGGCCCTCATGAGGCAACCACATGTGATTATTGATTCTCTTTTTTTTACAATACATCGTTTAATCATCATAATCACAAAACCAAACCCCTGACAAAAAAAAAATTTGCAAATTTTTGTAAAAAAGTCTAGAATGTGAAGCACAGGTGAGACGAACCCAACTTTGGGGTTTTTTAAAAGTAAATAAAATTTTTTTAAGTTTTTGCATTCGTTAAAGGGGGGCCCAAAATAATGTTGTTTCCGGATCCAGTATTTTCAAAAGGGCAAAAAAAAAACAAATATTTTTTAAAGGTTTTTAAATAGAAAAAGGGGAATGAAAAAATGTTTTATGTATTTTGATGTTTTTTTTCAGGTGTACCACATCCCCCAAAACCTAAGTATCAAATTTTGTTTGACAAACCCGGCACTTCATAAAAACTTCAGCAACTATAGAAGTTTTCAAATTTTACTCGAACACCCATTTTTTTTTGACGGGTAATGTAAAAGTTTGTCCCCCAGCGGGTTTCGGCAAACTGTGCTGTAAGTATACAAGAAATATTCACAAAAACTATAGAAAAAGATTTGCAACTGGTCAAAATTTAAGTAAAACTACCAAAAATACGGGAGCTGGTCAACACGTAGATGATATTATATACTGCTTGGGGGGGTGGGAAAAAATTTCGTTGCCCTAACCAGAAGGGGGAATTAACACATGTAAAATTCCAGTCCCCTTCCCTGTAGGTATAAACCCTTTTGTGGAAACCTCAGATTTTACCCCGTAACTGCCGTATAAAACACATCTCCGGATTTTCCAAATTCAACATTTTAAAATTTATTTTAAAATTTTATTTTTACTAAACCCCGGCTGGGGGGTGGGGGCGTATTTTGCACTTGGTAGAAACCGAGCCTGAAATTTATTTAAATGTTTCTGTTTTGAGTTTTTAGAGATTCACTTTTCTCTTTTTAATCCAAATACTGGGGGGAAATTTCTACTGACCTTTATATAGTCCCAAAGGGTAAATAGGGGTATAAACCCTTTAAATTTTCCTACTTTTTTTAAAAATCGACCAGATTTTCTTATTCAAAATTTAATTTAATTAAAATTTGAAGTTATATTTCTTTCTATTTTTTTAGGTTTTAGGTTAGGTAAAAACGGGTTTTTGGGCACTTTTAATGTAAAAACTATACTTTTTTTTAAATTAATAACATTGTTAAAAATTAAATTTTAAAAATTTCATTGGGAAATTAAGCTTTTCAATAAAAACACGTAAAAACGTGAAATTCATGTTTCCCGTTTTTTCGAACCTGGTAGAAAATTTTTAAAAAAGCCCCTTGACCATTTTATTATAAAAAACCTTAAAAATAAAAAAATAAAAAAAATGGTAAAAAATTAAGAAAAAATAATGTCAATAAAAAGAATAAAAACCTGGGACCTTTCAACATTTGGTACATTTAAAACCGACTGCTATTGCGGATGTTAAAGCAAAGGGGGAGTTTTCCAAACTTTTAAAGTTATAATCAAAGTAATGTCGAAAAAAAAACGACAAAAACAAAGGGGGAAATCGAATGTTTAAAATTAGGCTATAATGTACTCATAATTGACAGGTCAACAAAATCCGACCCTTTTCATTGAAAAAATTGTAACAGAAAAATAAAGGGAACTATTTTACCATTGCCGCCATGGAGACCCTAGAAACCAACAACATCAGAACTTTTAAGAATCTAAAAAAAAAACAGCCGTGTTATGACCAAAAAAATAAAAGGTTGCGAACCAAAATATGACCAGAAAAAGCCTGCGGGAAACCCGGCAGTCTGATCAAAAGGGCCAAAGCTGTTCGCTTAAACCCTATACAAGTAAGAAAAAAGGGTAGGAAAAAATGGTTCCTGAAATTTAGACTGGCGGAAAATTTCCCCGGCTGGTCTGGATCCTGGCTGGTCCCAAAAAAGCAAATATGTTGGTTTGTAACAAAACTAAAAAATTAAATTTCGTGCTTAAATTAAAATTTGATCTAAAAAAAATCTGAAAATTTTGGGAAAAATCAAAAGCTTTCTAAATGTGATTATTTTGTTTCACCTTTTAAAATTGGAAAACTAATTTTCCCAAAAAAATTTGAAAAAAATTTAATTATAAAAAATTCTAATTTGAAAACATTTCTTCAATTTTAAAGTACAATAAGGGAGGTCAGTTTAAAAAGTTCATAAAAAAATCTCGGGTCCTTGAGGTTTTTAAAAATTTGCCAAAAATTTGAAACTTGTAATTTAAAAAAAAACAGTTATTTTTAAAGTTTCCCTTTGGGTTTTTAATTTTTGCCGTCCCCCTGCATGCACGAGAAGGGAAAAAAAATTTTAAACAGCTGATCAAGAGGTCAAAATATGTAGAAGACCCACGGAAATTAAACTCCGAGAAATTCCAAATATACTGAAGTAATGAAACTTTTAAAACAGTTAAACCCCAGGTATATACATTTTATTTTTTTGCAAATTTTGTTCGAAATTTTTCATGTGAGGGGTTTTCCTAGTGCCCCCCCCCCCCCCCCCTGCTTTTGGCCCTTTAAAAACCCCTTGGGTTTAGGTTTTCCAAACCCCTTTTTAAAAATTTTTAAGTCTATTTTCTATGGCTTTCAAACCCGCAAACCTATTAAACCTCCAGTTTGCATAAACCCCTTCAATTAAATTTTAAAACTTGTCCACCACCCCTTAACTCAAACCCCGTTTAAACATGTCACAATTTTCAAGCTTTTTTTACGCATGATTCAAACAGAAACACCTAAATTTGGAAATGTCTGGTGGCCGGGCGGGCGCCTTTAAATTTTGTCCGGAGCAAAATGGATTGATTTTAAATTTCAAATTTTAGAAATTTTACCACCCATCAGAAAACCATTTACGTATATAAACCAAGGGAAAAAGGTTAAGGTCAAAACCCTTTAAAATCATTGAAAAAACTTAATCGGGGGGGTTTTTAAAGTTTTTTTACAAATGTTCACCAAATTTTTGAACTTTTGTATTGCAAGCATAAAAAAAGGGCTCTGATACCAAAAATTTTTGTCACAAAAGAATTTATAAATGTCATTTGGTTTTCAAAACCATCAATAAAATTTTATTACCCAAAAAAATGTGAAAGCATGTAAATTTAGGATAATTTTGAAGGTCACTAAAATGACAAAAAATCAAATATGTTTCATATTACCCCAAAAATACTGTCATTTTCCATATCCAATTTCAAAAAGCTTTTTTGAGGGGCGAATTATGCCAAATATTATGCCCAATTTTTTACTTTGAACTTATATTAAAAAATTAAAACGAAAAAAAATTGGTTTTTAAAACCAGTGTTCAGTTTATAACACGGATAGCTCCGTCAAAGCCTTTTAAAACTTCAATAGTATTTTTTTTAAAACATAGTAAGGGTTTTGAGACTTTTCTGCCTTTAAAATACTTTTTTAGTTTATTTAAACTGTTTCTATTCCTAGAAGGGGAATGCTAGTGTACCAACCAGGTTTCCCGGGATCACCCTTTTTTTTTAAAATTCTTTCTTGCAAAATTGGTATTTTCCCCAAACAAAATGAAAATTTCAACAATACATAGGTTGAAAAGCAAAACAATTAGGAGCCCTAATAGGGCACTGTTTAAAAAATTTGGGAAAAATTACTATACTAATTTAATCACTTAAAACCCTCTTCCCGTATGTTTTAATTTCCGGGCCCGGGACTTTGGGTTCTTTAAGGGGGAAACTGTAAACATGCTTCAGAAACATGGGGGGGGGTTCTTATATAGGTGTTTTCAACCCGGCTGTAAAATTTCACATAAAAGCAAATAACTTTAGTCCTTTCCCCATTCCCGTTTAAACTTGTCATCGGGGGAGCATTTGAGCCGTCACGACAAAAACCCAAAATAAATGGTTTGGGGACCAAACATGGGTTCAGACCAGCCCCGCGCAAACCCCGCAGTCTGATCAGGATTATGCTTTTGCTTTGGGAAACCCCATAGCAAGGTTTGAGAAAAATGATGCGATAAGCATGGAATTTCCCGATCAGACTGCGCGGGCGCACGGCTGGGTTTGGAAACCATACTGGGCGCAAACCCCTTGTTGGTTTTTTCCGTGGGCGGGCACAATTTTGTTTTTAAATGAAATTTGGGGACAGTTGTTAGACAAAGGGCCTTTAATTTTGAAAACAGTTTTCCCCTTAACCCTTTTTAATTTTAAAAAGACGAGTGTTAACACCAAAATGCGGCCAATTTATTTTTTATGCTTTCCATTTCGTTGACCTTTTGGGTTTGGGCTATTTCATTTTTTTCTGGCCAAATTTTCGTTTTACAGGAATTTGGGTATAGAGTTTGAAAAGTTACACAGTGGAAAAATCAGTTCAAATTTTACATAACAAACCCAAAAACCAAAAATTGCCGGAAAGTTTTTGTATGTTTTACCTTTTTAAATGCTTTAAAAAAAATACATTTCCCTTTCTTTCGTTTTCACTGCAATATTCCCCAAGGTTTTCATTCATAAAAAAATGTCTCTTTAAAGCAGCACGCCCTTTCCCGTTATTTTTTTTTAAGAAAAAATTTTTAAAATGTGTTTAAAGGTAAAATATTATGAAATGAACAAAAGAAGATAGTTTTACAAAATTAAAAATCGGACCCCTTTAAATCCACCCTAAATTACCAAAAAGGTCAAAAAAATGCATAAATAGCCCCACTGGGTTTTAAAAGCAGTAGAAAAAAGGGGATAAATACTACAAAAACAGTTTAAATTTAAAGCAATACGATTTAAATTTATATAAATTTCACTTGAATCTTTAATTTGTTTACTTTTTCAAAATTTTAGTAAGGTTTTTTTTAAGTTTTAAATTTTTTTAAAAATTTTGGGGCCAAACTGGAGGGATGCGCTTTTAAGGGAAATTATAGCAATTTCTCTGCACAATAATTTTAAACCCCCAAAACCCGCCGTTAAATGAGTATACCCCTGCTTAAACCAAGGGAGGGCCAAAATCAGCCGCACTCTTTTTGCTTGTCAAAACCGCATTTTTCCATTTTTCGCCCGATTTAAATTTAAATTTTGATAAAGTTAATGAATGGTTTTGCTAGTTCAAAGTTTTGGGCAATCGAGTTTTTAAAAATACTTTGGGGGGTTTGGTTAAAAACATATAGCTTTTAGCTTTTGCTTGGTTATAACCTTTAGCTTAACTTGATTTTATTTTTAAGATAATTTTCAAAATTTAAAGATGTTTAAATTTTTCGTTAAAAATCACAGATACCAAGGGGGGTAAAAAAAATCCCCAGGTTTTTAAACCCCCCCTGAAAAAAAGTGGGATATCTGGGATTTAAACATTATTTAAATTTTTTTTAAAAAATTTCCCATAAGAAAAAAATCTGTTTTAAAAACGTTCATGGGGGAATTTTTTTT